GAAAGAAAGCGAGTATAAATATAATGTAAAATACAAAAATATAAATATAAAAATACCTAGCACAGGTAGTAGGTTCTTAATGATATTAGTTTCTTTCCCCTCCTGCTGCCAAGGGATGAGCTCATTGCTTGTTGAGATGTGATTGACCTACCTATATGCCGATATTTAATAAAAGCATATAATGTGGCTTTCTTTTAATTCCTTATTAAATGGCAGTCTGGTAACTTATTCAGTCAATAACTAGGCACCAAGGAATCCATGTTTTGTGTGGGGAGGCAGAGGAAGGAAACATGTAAGCCAAAACAAAGCAGTTTTAATTTATTTTGAATCTTCTATTGTTTGCGTGAGGTCTTGTTGAAAAATGAGAGAAAATTTCATTAGTTCCCTTTCCAAGTTGCAGTAGATCACTAATTGCTCCTTCAGCTGTTGAATGGATATGCAAATTGTGATATATTCATACAAAAGAGTGTTACAAAGCCAGGAAAATGAATTAATTCCTACTACCCACGGCAGTGTGATGAGTTTTACAAACTTAAATGTCCACTAAAGGAACTAGATAAAAAGAGAACATAGTCTATATTTTCAAAAATAAGAAAAGTAAAACTTGGGCGCCTGGCTGGCTCAGTCGGTTAAGCGTCAAAGTCTTGATCTCAGCTCAGGTCATGATCTCACACGTTCCTGAGATTGAGCCCTGTATCTCGCTCCACTGACAGTGTGGAGCCTGCTTGGGATTCTCTGTCTCCCCCTTTCTCTTCCCTCACCCGGCTCATCCTCTCTCTCTCTCTCTCTCTCTCTCTCTCAAAAATAAAATAAGTAGGGGCGCCTGGGTGGCGCAGTTGGTTAAGCGTCCAACTTCAGCCAGGTCATGATCTCGCGGTCCATGAGTTCGAGCCCTGCATCAGGCTCTGGGCTGATGGCTCAGAGCCTGGAGCCTGTTTCAGATTCTGTGTCTCCCTCTCTCTCTGCCCCTCCCCCGTTCATGCTCTGTCTCTCTCTGTCCCCCCAAAAATAAATAAACTTTGAAAAAAAAATAAAATAAAATAAGTAAATATTTAAATTAATAGTGATAGAATAATTGCTATCTTTGGGGAGGGTGTGAAGGAAGTTTCTAGGTCATGGTCGTGTCCTCTGTTTAGATCTGGAGCTGACTACATGGGCTCATTTACTCAGTAAAATTTCAGGAAACTCTATACTCATGGCTTGCATATTTTTCTGAACTGAATATATTCATTATTCAATATATTCAGAATTCAATATATTCTGAAATGAATATATTCATTAAAAACATGGCCTCTCCAAATCATAATTTGCTTTAAAAAATCTAGATGACTTCATCGTGTTTTGAATGCTGGAACACAGTGTGCGAATTTTCATGTCCCTGCTCCCCTATTCCAATCTTAATAATAAACAGCCTGTGTGGTAGAGAATTATTTGTAGGGTAGAGAATTTCTTTTTCACTTTTCTCTAATTTATTACTCAAAAAAATTTAACAGCAGGGTAGTGGATTGTCGGCATGCATTATAGATTTTGATTATTTGTTTGTGTTATGCCTTGATATTAAAAATTCTTGGGGCGCCTGGGTGGCTCAGTCAGTTAAGTGTCAGACTTCAGTTCAAGTCATGATCTCATGGTTCTTGAGTTTGAGCCCCATGTCGGGCTCTGTGCTGACAGCTTGGAGCCTAGAGCCTGCTTTGGATTCTGTGTCTCCCTCTCTACCCCTCCCCTGCTTGCGCTCTCTCTCTCTCTCTCTCTCTCTCTCTCTTTCTCTCTCTGTCAACAATAAACAAACACTGTAAATGTATCTATGCAAAAAACCAAACATGCTTTGAACAAGTGATACTAAATAACATGTTTGATGTTATAGGTGCATTGTACTTTCTCTCATCTTGATGTTAACATATTATACTGGGTGGCACTTAACTAACAAATAGGCTGTTGAGTCAGATTCTTGATTTCAGCTTGGGCCATGATCTCATGGTTCCTGGGTTTGAGCCCTTTATTGGGCTCTGTGCTGACAGTGCAGAGCCTGCCTGGGATTCTCTGTCTGTCTGTCTGTCTGTCTCTCTCTCTCTCTGCCTCTCCCCCACTTGTGCACCGGTGTGCTCTCTTTCTTTGTCTCTCAAAATGAATAAACTTAAAGAAGAAGAAATAGGCTGTTGAGCAATTTCAAATTGAATGCAGAATAAAAATTTGAGACAAGAAAAAAAAAGATGATGTAACTTGAATATGGTGTACCAAGTAGTGGCATGAGAGTGTGGGGCTTTGCTGTTAGAGACACAATGTCAAGGTCAAGTTCCATTGTTTAATAACTAAGTGACATTTTTTCATTGTGGAGGATTTGTAACACCTTTATATGTCATTTGTATCTTCATATATAAAATGCAGATAAGAAGATTACACGTAAAACATTTAGTTCAAAGCCTGGCACATAGTAACTGCTTAATATATGACTTACGGATTTAATGATAATAAAATTCTTCACCTTACACAGTAAGGCTTAACTCAAGCAATTTGAAAGAAGCAACCAAAAATTTTTTTAACATGATGGAATAGTTCGTGTTTATATATCCTGAAAGTATTAATTAAAATATGAATACAAAGAGATGTCATATGAATATTTCATCTTTCATATAATGATACAATTTAGAATTAATTGCTTTTATACTATATTTTTAACTTCTGTCCTTTGCTAAATCAACTTGGAATTTAAACTACTCTTTTATTTTCCTTAATGGCAGTTTGGTTTTCTTTGAAAAATGAGGTTGCCATTTTTTTTAGTCTTATTATGATGGAATACTTAATGTAATTTCCTAGAGATGTTAATATATTTATTTTCTCTAATGTAATTTCTGCATATTTTTAAAATCCCAAATATTTGGATAATAAATGATTAGAATAAATGTTCATTTGTCTTATATGCTTTATGGATTTGGTAATTATTTAAACTATAAAATTAATCAAGGTTACTGTGAACTTTATGTTTCCCTTCCTCAATTATCTCCACAGAAACCATTCTCCTCTTCACCTTTTGCAGGCATTTAATGAAATGGTTCTTGTTAACATTAGTAAGAGATGTGTCATGAAATCGCTCTGCCTTGCTTATGCATAATTACAACTTTATTGCCCTTTAGTCTTTTAAATCTGTGGGCCATTTGTCTTGTCTTTTGTGTTGATGTGATAATTCACCTCCAGCACATGCTGTTGCTAAGCCTTTCTTTGGGTATTGGGATACTGAGTTTGTTATATTGCTACTAATTCTTGCTACTTTTAAGAAATTGTTTCTCCTTGTAACTATAGATCAGTAAAGAGTTTCTATTACTAATACTAGTTACTGACTTTTGATTACAAGTTCTTTCTTCTAGAAAAATCCTACAACACTTTATCTTTGCAGTGATGCAAATGCGTGTGTGTGTGTGTGTGTGTGTGTGTGAGAGAGAGAGAGAGAGAGAGAGAGAGAGAGAGAGAGAGAATGTTTAACATTTAGAAGTGAAAATGATGGGTGAATAAACTGTCTTTGCTCATCAACGGAGTCATTGCAAATATGGCATATTTTGTTTTCCCGACAACTATTTAAAGGAAATCATTTCACATTTTCTTGAATTACTGCTCTTGAAAGAGAACAAATACAAGGATTTGTCCTTGGGAGGTAGAAAAGTAAATGGTAACTGTATTACAACTAGTCACGATTAAATTGTTTCCCTCTGCCCCAGTATCTGAAGAAACAAAGTCATCCCGTTGTAAATAAGTTAAAGTTTAAAATGAGGACTTGAACTTTATATCACAGCCAAGTAGCTTAAAAATTTAGAGTGAAAACCAGGTCTTTCCATTCAGTAAGTTGTTCTCTCTTAAAAAGCAATTGTGTGTTTTTAAAACTTATAACAGATTTTTCAGAGGACTAAATAAATTATTAAATAAACCAAAATGCTCTCTTGTAAGTAGCCTCCTGGGGCTTCAAAACAATTCCACCTGTGTACTTAAGTCGATATTTTTATATCACTGTCTAATATCTTAAAAGTAACCACTGTGTGTTACGTTTATGCACATTTCCTTCCACAAGCTTGCTTACTAAGGGATGCAGATTCCTGGCCATGGCCCAAGATTTCTGCCTAACTAGCCTTAGATCTTCCCCAATTAATGAGTTGCCTAAGGAAAAAAGTTACAAATAAACTTAGTGTATGAAGAGTCTGAAACAAACCTCAAATCTCACAACATACCAATCATAGGTGTTATATTAGGGGGGGTGGGTTTTGCAAACAACTCTGAGACTTAAAGTTGACTTTTATTTTTTTTTTTCTGATTGATTTGCTAGGAACTGAGGGCATTGTAGAGACAGACAGTCTTTGTTGACATATGGGTTTTTTTTTTTTAATTCTATTTTATACTTTGGAATATAATTTTATTCACTGATATTTTCAAGGAATCTCATAATGATTATGAGACTAACATGCATTCATTAATAAATGCAATAAAAAATTTGATGCTGATACAATTTCAGGATTTTTTGGCAAGGCATGCCTTTTGTTATATTGTGACATTTTATACAATGTGAGGAAGATTGGGGTAAGAGAAAGTTTACTTTTATTTCATGAAAGATTTTTATGGTTAGATGCTGTATTTCTAAATTGACTGCTATATTTCTATTTTCATTAAATAGATACTTACAGTTAGAGGAGAAGACTGGTCCCTAAATCTGGAAGCCTATTAGGTTTGAGAATCAGATCAGTGTTCCTGTTTGGTTTTGAATATGTTGGATTGTTATGATTTCGTGTACCTGGTGCTTTTCCAGCTTAATAACTTTAAAAATTCCGATTAGTAAGTTAATTGACTTTTTCTGGTTTGTTTGAGATTAAATGTTATTAATTACAATTTGAGTACTTTCATTTTCCATTAGAAATGGAAGATTTTGGTGCAGGGACCATTTATTTAAATGACAGTAATTGAAACTTTGCCAGGCATTTATTTGTTTGCTTGTTATTTATTTTGGCTTTTTCTTTCCCCAGCAAGTTGATGTGGAAGAATGGGTATGTGTTTCCATGTATTTACAAAGAAACTGTGATCTTAAACAAGTGCATGTTTCCTATTGCCTCTAATCTTTTTGTTTTGCTTCTGAGTGTGGCTTGTACTATGAACATTCAAACTAACTGCTATCTTGTAATGAGCACATATTGTACTGGTCTCTACGTAGAACCTTACGAAGTTTTGGTTTTGCTTCGTCTGAAATGAGGTAGATTGGAAAACCCTATCCAGAAGTATATGCTTTCTATATAATTTGTAATTATGATATGCTTCTGATCAACAGGAATCAGAATTGTTTATCTCTTATCCAACAAATCTCGACTACTTACTCTTAAAGCCCTCCTGCTTAGCTCTTATGTTTTCCATGCTCTATAGACATGGTCTGTTATCTGTATTAATGGAATGTTTAAAAGTACAGGTGTTGTCAGTATTGTGAGGAAAGATGCAGGTGACAGGGTTCTGGAGGGAAAGTCTGGACCAACATTGTGACAAATCATGTAAGGTGGCCATGTTACTACTCAGATGTCACTTTCCTCATCTGCTAAAAGGAGAGAAGAATCCTTGCAGTCCTGAACACCCTGATTACCTTTAATTCTGAATGGAAATTAGAGTCTCACCAACACTTTTTTTCCCCGAGCATGCAAAACAGCGAAGCATGTTTTATTATTTTTGTTGTATTATTTTGTTTTTATTTGCTTTGTGACTTAATATATTGACTTAAAAAAATTTTTTTTAATATTTGTTTATTTTTGAGAGAGAGACAGCAAGAGCAGGGGAGGGGCAGAGAGAGAGGGAGACACAGAATCCGAAACAGGCTCCAGGCTCTGAGCTGTCAGCCCAGAGCCCGATGTGGGGCTTGAACTCAGGAAGCCTGAGATCATGACCTGAGCCGAAGTCAGAACCTTAACCGACTGAGCCACCCAGGCGCCCCAAATATTGACTTTTAAAGATTGGCTTAACCGATGGCTTCATTCTATATTTATTATTTTCCCTGATCCTGGGATATGAGTCTCTTGATATTCTCAATATTTTTGAGCCTTTTGCTACCTGATTTTCAGTAGCCTTTCAGTGGTGTTTCTACCACTGAAACGAATGCATGTTCACTTGGCTTTTTGTGAATCTTGGCTCTTTTTCACTTACTGTATCCCTTTATATTGATGGAAAGCTTTTTTGTTTTTTTTTAATTGCCATTTCCATGACGATGATACCCATATAATTTTGAGAACTGCTACTTCTATATTATATTTCTGGTGAGAATGTAAACTCATCATCTGTCTCTTCGTAGCTAAATGATTACTAATTCTGTTCAACTTTTTTGTTGTTGTTTTGAAATTTCATGTCTTCTGTGCCTACAGTTAGAGTTCTGGTCCAAGCTTTACACTCTTCTTGTCTTGGGAATAAAGGCCTGTCTCTACAAACATGTTGGTCGTCTTTTGGTGGCTCCCTGCCAATGTCAGCTGTCCTAAAATGAGTCTGTCTTTTCTCATTTTGGTGCCCCTTTACTTCCATTAGTCAACTTAGGTGCTGTACCCAGAGATCACTTTTTCTTCAACCAACCAGTCACGCCACTTTCAAATCTGGAAATAGAATTCATGAACAAATGGGAACCCTCTTTTCCTTTGTCTGTAAGTGTTTCCCTCTCTTCCTCCCTGTGTCTGGTTACTCTCGACCTACCTCACTGTGTGGCTTTTCTTTCTCTCATTTTCGTAACAATTTCACATCTCAGACTTCATTCTTATCAAGTTTATTCGTAAATCGTCACAGTTGAGGTTGCTTTCTGGATCTGAGAAAGAAAAGGAAGTAACATTGAGCTGAAAATCATGCAGTTCAGCTTTGCAAGTAACTAGCTTTATAACCTTATGTAGGCTATCTGTCGACTGTTATCTCATCTATAGGATTAGAATCTGGACCAGTCCTTTCTTATTCTAAGATAGTACCATTATATTAACAATAAAACATTGATGCTGAAATATGCTGCCATTTAGATATCATATAATGAAAATTCCTGCTGGCATTTTTTGAGGAAACTGGTAATCATTATGAGTATATGACTCGGTAAATTTTTGGTTTGAGCTCTTCCTTTCTTTGAAGACTCATGTAGTTCAAATCTTACATATTTTCCATTGGAAGTTTGAAATTCGACTGTAACCAGTACCTTGAAGGGTAACAGAAAAACAGTTTAACCCCCTGCCTACCCACCTGCTCTATGGGGCCTCTACTCCTTTGTCCCATTCCTTAAATTAGGATGGGTCCCATGACCTCTCTTATATTCAGACAGTAAGAACCCCTCCCCCAGTCATTTCAAGTCACAAAAGTCTCATTTTGGTAACCAAATCATGCAATCCTGTGTAATCGGGGTGGGGGGGGGTCTGAAGTTAATGTAGGTTGACCTGTGTTGGAGCTCGGGCCACCCCAGGCTGGAACCCAGGAGGGGAGGGGGGAAGGGGTGGGAAGCTGCCTCTTACTTCGCTCTGCCAGGGTCCTCACACCCTTGCCCCATTGCCCAGCGCTCCTGCCCCTGTCAGGGTGCAGCAGGAACATGGAAGAAGAGGGAAGTTGGCAGGAAGTCTTTTTAAAAAAAAAAAATTTAATGTTTATTTTTGAGAGAGAGAGTGAGTGAGCTAGTAGGGGAGGGGCAGAGAGGGAGACACAGAATCCAAAGCAGGCTCCAGGCTCTGAGCTATCCGCACAGAGCCCGACCCGGGGCTCCGACTCACAAACTGCGAGATTATGACCTGAGCCAAAGTTGGATGCTTAACTGCTTAACCAACCGAGCCACCCACGTGCCCCTGGCAGGAAGTCTTTCTTGATGACAGTGACCTTCATTGGGCTTGTCAGGTGTTAAGGCGAGCGCTCTCTGGGGCACTTGGGAGGGTTTTCTGGGGAATGCCCGTCACCAGAAATCTGACCTGTGGTTCTCTTGCCTCAGCCAACGATCCCCCAGCTGGTCAGTGGTGACGACTGCCTTGTCCCAAGGCCTCTTGGGGGCATTACGGACATCCCCAGGCCGGCTCTTTCTGGAGCAGCCTGTCTCTAACAGCAAGCCCCCTCCTTGCCCTCTGCTGCCACAGCCTGCCTAGCCCGTCTCTTCGTCTTCATCTCCAGGCACAGTCAGACACCGGTCTCTTGTGTCCCACCTCCTGGGGGACACAGGTGTCTCCGAAGCCACTCTCTCTAGGCTTGAGGTGAGGCCAGGCTGAAGTGGGCAAGAGCAGGACTCAGAAGCTCCCAAAACCTCCTTCCAAGAACCATGCTTTTGCTCCCCGACCGCTTCTGGAAGACCAGAGCTGGGGGTCAGCCAAGGGCAGCAGGCCGATTTTCAGCCGCCCCTTTTGGTGGGATAACAGTAAGTTTGGAATGTGGTACTCTTTGCCATCACTTTGTTCTGAGACAGGTGTCCCAAGACAGGGACAGGTGTCCAAGACAGTTATACTTGCTTAACTACACAGGGCATTTACCAACCGCAGATTAAGACCTTTAGGAGTCCTGTAAAATTTACATATATATGGAAAGGCAAATGGCTCCTTTGTAAATTTTCTGATAGTATAATTCCAGATAGCTTCATCAAAGGTCAATCAGTCTTAATCAATCTCTTCCTCCCCCCCTTCCCGCCCTTCCTCTCTCCACTGGTTTCCCAGTGTCTCTTTGAGCATCTTTGAGTATTTTGCATTTAATCATAAGCCCATTGAGTAATCAAATGTTGCTCTTCATACGCAAAGGGAGAATAACATTGGTGGGTCTGGAGTAGCAGGTGATAGATTGCCTGTTATTTCTGTCTACTGCACCCCAGCCTTCTGGCACCCCTAACCCATAGCATCGGCCTCTAGCGTGGTGCCTGGGGTTGCAGGCCTCTAGCGTGGTAGCCTAGTGCGTGGGGTTGGGTGGAGCTGGGACGAAGGGATGGAAAACAGTGTGATATTTGTCAGATGTGGAGCAGTGTCTGTAGACCGAATGAGGTCTCGTACATATACTTGCTCTTTTCAGGAATACGTTGATGCTGTTGTAATTGGTAAGATACAAAATTCTTTCAAATGTTCCTAACTGAATAGCAGTTTAAAAACAGTAATGTGTTTTCATGTGCATGTACTGCCATGTGAGGGCCTGTGAAATGCTTTCATGTTTTCAAGGTTCATACGTGTTTGAAATGGTTTGGAAAAAAATAGAATGTTCTATACTTTGATATACACAATTAAAAAAATTTTTAACATTAATTAATTTTTGAGAGACAGAGAGAGCATGAGCTGGGGAGGGGCAGAGAGAGAGAGGGAGGCACAGAATCTGAAGCAGGCTCCAGGCTCTGAGCTGTCAGCACAGAGTCTGACATGGGGTTTGAACTCATGAACCATGAGATCATGACCTGAGCCGAAGTCAGACACCCTGATATACATAATTTTTTATATGTAGGTGGTGATCTGAGTATAGGTGAGGCTTTATGTATCTTCGGGTCATTATGATCCATATATTTTGTGCAGAGATCAATTTGTTGGTTTTGATTTAGACAAATTTTTTTTCACGAGACAAGCTACAAAAAGAGGAAAGCCCTAAATAGCTCTTTTACTTCATATCTTAGGCGTTCATGCAGCTCAGTGATTTATAAACCTGTGCCAGCGAGCCAGAATGGGAGGATTTATGGTAGCCTTTCAGAAGCATTTATTTTTCTTCGCCCTTCAAAAGAAGAAGTGGATAATTACACACATATATATTGTCAAATTCGTGACACTCAAAAGAAAAGGCAGTTCATGTAAATCCTTTCTGTACAGAATTGTCAATAGGTTGAAAATGACAACAGTGATGACCAATCTGCCCCCCAAATATAGTGAATTATTTAAAAGATACGAGCATGCACCTGTAACCAGATAGTTATTATTATGAGCCATGTGAGAGCATAGCCACAGGCTCAATGATTACAGGTATCACTCTCTTTCATGATGATGAAAGCCGTGCCCCTTTTAGATGCTCTCTGGGCCTGCAGTCAACATGCCTGTCAATCGGTTCAGTTTTGGAT